AACTTACATTACATGATACAATAGTTATTCATGCCACAATACATTAATCCAACAACAAGTAAATAGACAAATAAATACCCCAAAAAGTTTACAAGTTTCCAAGGCTTTAGCCTAGTTATTCAAACCCACAAACATACAGCCCTTGGCTTACACAGAGAGTCACAACAAAATGAGAGTCTCGTACTCTCTGCACACATTTCCTCGCCTTGAGTTAGGCGGCATCACCACATCTTTTCCTGCACAAAAATCCCATAGAGTGAGCATAAAGCCTAGTAGAAAATCCTTCACAAAGTATATACATTTTATACAAGTCTCAAAAGATGAAATGCACATGTCATGCTATCTCTTTTGAAAGAAAATCACATCTTCATCTTTGAAAACTTTCATACTCAATGATATCATGCAATTTCAATTCTTCAAAACTTAACAATTAATTTCAAGAGTGGTAAATACGACTCTGGTAATCCTTAGGTCAGTGTCTACAAATAGACTATAAAGTACTACAAAATTGTCAGTTTTACCGGTATTAACTGGAAGGCTCGACACCTATCCAGGCGGATTTTCAGTCTTTTATCCCGAACTCTCAGGCTAACTTATTCAATATCATCTACACCACCTATCAAGACTTACCAACGTATTTATCCCAAAATCATTCCATAAAAACTTGTTTCTCAACATTCTTTTCTCAATGTAAGCTTTCAAATCAACTTTCAAAGTTTAATGTAATCAAATGAATTGATATACCAATAACACAAGATGAATACAAATATTTTATTCCAATTCATCATCTAAGGAATAATACAATTCACTTTTCTCAAGTATCCTAAACAATTAGTCATTTCAAGACTATTTCAACGTTTTGAACAATAATTTCCAAAATGAACAATAATTCTAATATTCCCTGAAATTCATCATTTATATTACAAGAAATTTTCTAAATATTCATTTATTTTGACATACAAAATAAATATAATAATATCATTTATGGATTTTCAATCTCTTAAAATTTTTTTCCAAATTCTAGGTTCTGTCACTAAAACTATACAACTCAAATCTTTTGAAAGAAAACTTTTCAAAATCATCTTTTCTTCAATCAACGAAGATCAAGACCCAAAAGATTATTGTAAAAGAACAAGAGACAAACCCATTTTCAAAATCACTAAACTTCTTGAATCAATAATCAATTTTCAAAGCTATCGAAAGATGATTTTGAAAATCATATAGATCTTCCAAAAATATATATATAACTCTAAGAAAATCTCTACCTCAAGTTTTAAAGAATAAATGAGATGAAACCCCAAAATTTATGGTGTCAAAACTCGATCTCCACCGCACACAACGAAGCCCTCGAGAAGTTACATAACTTTGATGAAGAACTTCGGTCTAACTCTCAACGGATCTTGAGAAATCAAGATTTTGATCCAATTTGGCGTAGGGAAATGTAGAAAGAAGGGAGATGAAATGTTTTTAGAGAGATATACAAAAGTGATCTGAAATATTATATTCACGAACTGATATAACATGGTCCGCCCGAGCGTGGAAAGCCCCGCTCGAGCATCAAATACACTTTCTTAGTACTTTTGCAGATAGGTCAAACTTCTGAAACTAAACATTTTCTGCTCGAGCGCATAAATGGCCACTTGAGTGGACAAGCAACTTCTAATGTATTTTGCATTTTTGCTTCGGGGGTGCTGCTCCTCAACCCCGCTAGGGCGTTGCCTTAGAACCCATCAAGGGGCGCTGCCCCCTAGACCCCTTCGAGCTGACCGGGCAGCTCGATCCCCGCCAGGGTGCTGCCCTTGGACCCGCCAAAGGGAGGTGCCCCCTGGACCCTTACAAGCTGACCGGTTAGCTCGATCTCTGACATACTCAGTAAAGTGGCAAAACTGGAATCACTACATTTTTAAATGAGAATTTAGGTTAGAAATTAAAAGTTAGATTATGATAATTTTATGATAATGAATTAAGATGTTTAAGTTAATTTATGATTTAATTTGTTATATATGTGCGTGTGTGTGTGTTTAATTTAAAATGTTATTAAGTAACAAATTGGGTGAAAAGTTAAAAATTGGATTATGGTATGATTTAATCTTATGGTAATAAATTATGGCATTTAGGTTAATTTTTTATTTAATTTGTTTTATATATATATGTGTGTGTGTGTGTTTATGTTTATTTAAAAAATTTATTAAATAAAAAAATCAGATTAAAGTAATTTGATAATTTAATTTTATAGTAATAAATTAAGGTATTTAGGTTAATTTATGATATAATTATATATATATATATATAATATGTCATATATTCAAATTTTCAGCATTTTGGGTTTTAGATTACAAAGTTCCACTTAACCCAATTTCCTTTATCTTTATTATACAAAAATTAGAGTGTATTTGAAATAAAGTGAAATAAAAATAATAACTATATATAATAAGGACAAATAAAAAATATATTTAAAGTAAAAAGAAATAAAAATAGCGACTGTCATAAATTCAAGTGTTTATGTATTTTATGATTTAAGAAACTCCACGCAATGCTTGGAGAGTTGTTAAGTGTTTTCAATGGAGGGAATTACATCTTAGGGCAAATTTACTCAAGGATCAAGGTCACGTGCCCCTTAGCTTTTTGATAATTCTATTAGCACCCCTATATATATATATAAATTATGTCTTATATATCTTTTATAAAATTGTAATAGTGCCTTCCTTCAAATTGTAATTAAGGATTTTTTGTTTTTTTTTTTTCTAATTACAAAGATCCTACTAAAATGGGTCCTTTTACCATACACTCTCTCCAAAAAGCTATACTATATGCATGTTATGATATTTCATGATATTAACACTAAAAAATGTTATGATTAAATCATTTTCAGTTATAACTAAAAAGACTACAATAAATAACAATCAAACACTACTTCTTCGGTCATAACCTAAAAATAATTCTAATAGGTCATAATTAGGGATGACAAAATATCGCGATCTGTCGAGTCTCCGACTATCCCTGATCCTAACAGAATGTGTGCAGGGATGGTTGAATAGGATATAGTCGGATTTGGAAAAGCTTTTGAAAATTCTGATTGGGTTCGAGTCGAGGGTGGGAGTTATATTTGCGAGTTTGGAATTGAGTTTGAGTTTGGGTTTGGGTGCGGGTGCGGTGGATGTCCCGACTCATACCCTACCTCTTGCCATCCTAGTCATAACTAAGTCATAAGTTACCTAATACCACAATGAGTCATAATTGAATGTTTTAACCAAAATAACAATCATAATAAATCATAACTAAGTTATGACCAATACCACAAGGAGTCATAATTAATATTATAATTGCGACATATAATACACACTATTTTGCGATGTGTTTTTAGAAAAATTTTCTACTAAAATATATCATTTCTATCTCAACTTATTTATTTATTTATTTTTATAATTTTTCAATCTACCTATAATAGTTACACTCCAATATTTTTTATAAAATTCAACCTCAAATGGCTTAATTTGAAGTTCATAGTTATTCAAATAGACTCAAAATATTTAAGTTTAGTAATATTTTACCATTGTTTATTATAAAAAAAATAAAAATAAATCAATATTATCTTTAATATGTCCCCTTTAGTTGAATTCCCGACTTTGCGACTGTGGCTTGCTTGGATGAATCGAATCAATGGTTTGGATGCTAAAGTGGAGAATTTTTAATATAAAATCTTATCAAATAAGGTAAGTTTATGGTAGTAAATTAAATTTTTTAGTTTAATTTAGGGGCAATTACAATTTAGTGTAACTTTTTAAAAATAATTTTAGATTAGTGGGAAACTTATGAACATTAATAATTAAAGTTTTAAATTTTTTCATAAATTTGTAATTATTTTTGTAAAAAGAATGCTGGATTGTAATTTTTCTTTTAAATTATGATTTAATTATGTATATATATTTGTGTGTATATTTATGTTAATTTTAAAATTTTATTAAATAAAAAATTAGGTTAAAAATTAAAATTAAAAATTAAATTAAAGTAATTTGATGATTTAATTTATGGTAATATATTAGGGTATTTAAGTTAATTTATGGTTTGATTTTTTATATATACACGTTTAATTTAAAATCTTATTAAATAAGGTAATTTTATGGTAATAAATTAGAGTGTTTAGTTTAATTTATGATTTAATTCGTTATGTATTTATATATATGAATGTTTATGTTTATTTCAAAGTGCTATTAAATAAAAATTAAAAATTAGATTAAAGTAATTTGATGATTTCATTTTATGGTAATAAATCAAGATATTTAGGTTAATTTATGGTTTAATACATATGTTTAATTTAAAATGTTAATAAATAAGAAATTAGGTTAAACAAATAAAATTGAAAATTAAATTAAGTTAATTTTATGCTAATAAATTAGGGGGTTCAATTTAAGTTATGATTTAATTTGTTAAATATGTGGTTAAGATAGAAAATTATATGGATTAGAGAAGAGAAAAAGTGAATATGGTATAAGAGTATTTAGGTAATTTTTTCACCATTATTAACAGTGTTAGTTTTGCACTTTAATCCAAAATTATAAAGGGGTTCCTTGTCTATAATTGAACTACAGGAGATAAAGTAAATTTCGTACATTATTATAAATATTTATATATAAACATATATATTTGGTCAACATATTTATGTAAATATACATATCCTGAAATATAAATATAATTTAAATGATTGTATCTTGGCTAGTATTTTTATTTATTTATTTAGGAATAATATTTAATATATTTATGATATAAATATGTCGTCACGATTTTATTCCAATTGACCTAACAGTTGAACCAGCAATCCTTAGCCTGATTTTTTTTTTCGATTTGCCCAATGGTCCTAGTTTCAAAACATTGCACGCAAGCTCTTATTTTTGTAAATATTTTTAAATAAATAATTAGAACTGTTAGAGAGTTACAATTCCTAGCAATCAAATAATATGTAAAGATGAAATTTCTTATGATCTTTTACAATAATAATTCAGGACATGTTTGTTGCTGGAACTGATACCATATTTACAACTATGGAGTGGACAATGGCAGAGCTCTTAAAACACCCACAAATCATGAAGAAACTACAAAATGAGGTGAGAAAAATAGCCAAAGGCAAACTGAACATAACCGAGAATGATTTAGAAAACATGTACTATTTGAAAGCGGTGATCAAAGAATCTCTAAGGATGCATCCTCCAGCTCCATTGTTGGTTCCCCGAGAATCAATCCAAGATGCCAAGGTAATGGATTATGACATTGTAGCTGGCACACAAGTAATTGTCAATGCTTGGGCAATTGCAAGAGACCCATTATCATGGGAAGATCCTGAGGAGTTTCGGCCAGAGAGGTTCTTGAATAGTTGAATAGATTTCAAAGGGCACAACTTTGAGTTTATTCCTTTTGGTGCTGGTCGAAGGGGTTGCCCTGGTACTCTATTCGCCACGAATGTTGATGAGCTTGCACTTGCAAGTGTTGTTCACAAGTTTAACTTATCGTTACCAGATGGAGTGAGTGGGGAAGATTTGGACATGACTGAAGCTGCTGGTTTAACTATCCATAAAAAAAACCCTTTAATTGTTGTTCCAACTCCTTACTCTTGTTAGTGTCATAAAGTCTCCCATATGTTTTAGAACTATATGTTATATCAGTGATAGTTAAATCAAAGACAATAAATGCTTAGCCATATAAATCTAAATAAATTTTGCGCTTGAGAGTTGTATTAGGTGGATTGCTATTTCTAGTTCTAAACAAATCAATTTATATGAGAAGTTTCTTTCTCTCCTTTTGCGTAATTATGATCACTTATAAGTCATCTTTATGTCCTTATCGAGATGCATTTGGGTTAGGTTTAGTGGATAGTCGATTAGTCTTCATTGTTGGATTTTTCTATTATGAAATTATTCGAGCAATCATCTTCGCTTTGTTGCGAAATCAATGATGAATTATCAACTTTCAATATTTTTGCTAGTTTACCTTATTATTAGAAAAATCTAAAAAATCTTATTCTTTAAGAAAGGTAAGTATAGTGACCTGAGTCAAGACCCGACCCTTTTATGCTCATTGGTATTGAGTTTGCATCTATTTGGGTTGTTTTGTATCTTTTAGTTATTTAATTGTCACAGGGAATCTTGGTTTTAACTCAACACCATTGGCGTATTTTCCTTCTGTTTGAAAGGTCAAGCCTGCTACTATTTTTGTCGCGCCCGTGAGATTGGAAGGTTGCACCCGCGATGGGCCACGACTAGGTTGTGACGAAACATGACCTCCAGGTCTGTTGGCATAAAAGAAAGTGCATGGCTTGTGATGGTGGCTCACGAACTGCGGGATCATGCCAACCAACGGGGTTACCACGATCGTGATTGTAACTCTCAGGCCCACGATGTGGTGCCCACGATGTGGTGCCCACGATGCGTTTGTCTATAAATATCACATAAAAGTTGAAAATATTTACTTTTTGATCTCATCTTTTCCTCCTCTCTCTCAAATCACCCTTTTAGCCCTTTAAGCTTTTAAACTCTTGGTTTCATATCTTTTTACCCATTTCTTACCCCTAGTCCTTAAGGCCAAAACCTAGGACGCGTTGAGGGTTATGTTTTAATTTGAAAATTTTGAATTTTCATCTCTGTTGATTTTTGGGTGTTGCTCTCTTCTTCCTTTTTGCTTTGAGGTAGGGATTCTTTAATGATTTGCATGTCATTTAGCCTTGTTATGTGTTATTCGAATAATTTAACATTGAAAAATCTAGAAATCCCCTAGATATTGATTTATGATTATGTATTAATTTTTAGCAGTAAATAACAATCCTAATCAAACAATCAAGACAAATCGACATAATAATTTTACTTGGAAAAACCACAATTAGAGCGCTTCCAATTGTGATAAAAAAAAAATCACGGGCAAAAGCCACAAAATAATCCACTAAGAAGACATAAAGAAATTAAATAAGTGTATTTTCAATTACCTAGCAAATCCACGCCTGAATTGAACCGACCCCTATGCGCCTTTTTCTGTCCCGTCTTCACTTTGGAATTGTCTTGTACAACGTTGAATCCACAACGCCGATGTTGAATCCACAACGATGAGCCACTCTAGAATCCACCAATGCTTCAGGCCCATATTCCCCGGAATCCACTGAAGAACAACTCTCTTTTTTGTATTAAATAAAGCAAACTAAACAAAGCCTTTGATATAATCCACCCAATTCCAGATTAATCTCTCACAAATATCAAAGGAAATAAGCAAAGAAACTCTAGATAAAACCCTAATACCCAAGGAGAAGATCTGGATGACGTACCCTAAAATTAGACTGAAACACATATTTATAGAAAACAGATCCACGATCTCCGCTCGAGCGCAAGAATGGCCGCTCGAGTGGATCTATGCTCGAGCGCAGGAATGGCCGCTCAAGCAAGAAAAAACAACTTTCAGTACTTTTGCAGGCGAGTGAAACTTCGATCCTCGACATAGTCAGCGAAGTAGCAAACAAGATAAGATTAAGATCACACACTCCTCTGTACAGGCACACTTCGGGTTGGATTTGCATCTAAAACTCATAGCCTCACGGAAATAAAAGATCGAATACAATTATAACTGAAACGATTTTTGTCAAACGAGATTGCCAAAAATAAAAACTTAAAAAACACTTTAAGAGATTAGGGTTTGATTAATGCATATTTTAAGTGCATAAAAAAAGGGGTTTTCTTAGTGATTTTCTTAAAACCCTAGCTAGTTGTTTATGATGATGAGTTGTATTGAACTTTTCAGGAAAATTGTTTTCTTTAAGGTAAGAAATTCCCAATTCTATCAAAACCCTAGAAATGTTCCATGTTGAGAAATTATTGGTGTTGTTGAGAAATTATGAACTTCATGGTGAACTCATAAACATGGGCTAACTATGGAAATTGGTGAGACTTTGAGAATTTTGAACTCTTGAGAAATATTTCGTTATGTTGATGTTATTGGAAATTATCAATGTTGCTTTCATTATATTGTCCATTTGGAATATATTGAATGGAGATAACTATTTTGATTATCGGCGGAGGATAACATTAACTTGTTGTAAAGATTACATGATAACCAGGTGAACTAAAACCATATTTACACATGCATTCCATTTTATCATTTGTTTCGTACTTGTACATTTGATAATGTTGAAAAGTATTTGTTTGAGAAAAAGGGTGAATAGTATGGTGAATCTGATTAGGATGTGTAATGACCGATTTTTTTTTATTTTTTATTTTTATAAAAAAAATAGCCAATGCGTAATTTAATTGAGCAAATTTTCGAATTTGAGTGTTGTGTAAATTCTCTGCAAAAACAATTCTATTTTGTATTTTTTAAAAATAGTTCTTGATCTTAGAAAATTATGAAATTTTTATATGTTGTTCCCATATGATTCTAGCACGTTGGATAAAAATTTTAGAATTTAATGATGAGTATTTATTTTATGAAAATTCATGGACTGATTAGTATTTAGTTGAATTTATAGCAGAATTTTGTTATTTAATTTTTAATGTTTAGATCATGATTTGGATTAGATTTGTTGAGTCTACTTTGGTATATAATTGGGCAATGTTTGGGAATTTAATTTAAGACCCATGGTTTGGATTCAATTTAATTTGAGTTTGTTTATGGCTCATGTTTAACTGTTTAGTCCTTTTTAATTACGTGATTAGTAGTGACCATATTCGGAGTTGTAATTATTTATTATATATGGTTATAATATATGTTTGAAAGTTGAATTCGTGGTGTGTACCATATGGTGAAAATTTGTATATTTTTATAGTGTATAAAATGGGTGTATATTTCATGGTGAGCAAAATATTATATTTTATGGTGTACAAAATATTATATTTTATAGTGAGAACAATTATATCATTTTATAATTTATATTATAATATTTTGAGGTATTATTACAAAAATTAAATTATTTTCTTGAAAAGAAACCACTCTTGGGAAGACAACCCACATGGGGTTGTCGCCCACACCATTGCATTTCCTTTCTCCTCCTTTTTGCGTTCTTGAGCTGAATAGAGAGCTCATCTCTCTCTCTCTCTCTCTCTCTCCATGTTCACCATTGTTGTTCAATATTTGAACTTGAAATAAGAGTCTTTAGAGTGAGATTTTGTAAAAGTGTTGTAAATGATAGTAGGAAAGCTCGTCGTAATCTTCGCAATTGTAGTTTCGGATTCATGATCGGGCAAGATTTGCCTTCCAGATTTGCTCTTCTTCATTAAATGAGGTAGAGACTTTCTTCATATTTTTACATAAAAGTTATGTTAGGGTTATTTTGAAAAAATATATCATTATAAGAGGTATTGCATATATATATAGATTTTTGTTTGGTAATTTTTGGAAGAAAAATTATATTGAAATGTTAAGAATGTTGGCATTTTGAGATTGATTTGGAAAAATCATTTTGTGCTGATAATTTTGCAAAGAAACCTGAAAATAAAATTTAATAGTTGTATGATTGTATTTACATCATATTATGATTACATGATTTATTTTGAGAAATATAAAGTTGATTTTTTTTAATCTTTGATTTGGAATTTATTTTTGAGAAAAATAAATTAATGTTGAGGAATATGGAGTAAATGCTTAAGTAGAAATTATAGAGTTGTTTTGGAATTAAAAAATCTAAAAGTGTTACATTCATGATATTTTATAAAAGATGATATGTCAATGATTAAGTTGTGTTCATTTTTATTTAAATAAAATTGTGAAATGTGAACTTTCAAACTCATAACCTTGAAAATGTTACTGTTGGGCATATTTCATAATTTTTGATGTAAATATCACGTTGGTTAAGTAATTTTAGAAAAAGTTGTGAATTTGTTATTGGTAGAGAATTTGGTAAAAATATTACATCTTTAAATATCTTGGCATGAAAAATGGTTATGTTGAAATATAGTTATGTTTGAGGGATGAGGCAAGTGAAGTTAGGTTTGGTATTATTAATTTGAAATTTTTTGAATATAATAAACTTACTAATTTGGTGAATTAAATTAGTTTTGATTAAAAGGTTATATCCGTTATGGTTAAAAGTGTGTTACTGAGATTATACCATAACTTTTGACATCGTAGGATGGAAATTGTAATATTTAATAAGTAGGGATTTCCTTTGAGTTATATCTATGTTTTTGCCAAGATCTAGATGATTTTCAAAATCATCCTTTGATTTGTTTTGAAAATTGATTGTTGATTCAAGAAGATAAGAGATTTTTTTTTTTGAAAGTGGGTTTACTTTCTTGTTCCTTTTAAAAAAGAAATTGAGGGTTTTGAACTATGAGGATTGAAGAGAGATGTTTTTGGTGACTTTCTTTCAATAAATGAAAATGAGTGATTTTGGTGAGAAAACCTAGAAATTGTGAGTTTTTAAGAAATATGTTGACAATCTTTGAAGATGTTGTTATATTCATCTTGTGTGCCAAAATAAATGATGGTTGAAAAATTGTTTATTTGTTTTCATATAAATGATGGTTTTCATGGAATATGAGAATTGTTGAAATTTTGGAAATTGTTGTTAAAAATGTTGATATAGTCTTGAAGTGACTAAATGGTTGAGATTACTCTAAGTGTGAGAATTTTGTTGTCCCATGGATGAATTGGAATAAAAGTAATTATATTTATCTTGAGAAATTATATTGAAATGAGAAATGAGAATTTTGATCACAATGGGAATATTGTGTGGAAGTATTGAAAGTGGAAGAATTATTGCATTGTATTATTAATCGTTGCATTGGCATATCAATTCATTTGATAATGATGAGCTTTGAAATTTGATTTGAAA